TTTTGTGATTGCAGTGGAGTGGATGGGGGATTCTAGCTGCCTGTTTTGTGCAATAGCAGACACGAGTGGAAAACTCCCCGTTATCATCATGTGGCTTTGGATAAAGTTACGGATTTTGCTATTTATACCCTGCTGTGTAGCAATCTCTTTAGTCCTTGCGAAACCACTCTAGGAATAGAGATGCTTAGAAACTGTCTTTGTAAATCAGACTATTGGAAGTGAACAAGCAATTTAGACTTCAAAAAAATCCACATTTTCGTTTGTATTGGTCAAATTTGTGCTGTCAGCTAGATATTAATAATGATGCTATGGAACACATGGTCCATGCCACCTGTTATGCATATGTAGCATAGTAAAAGTCTGTCTTATTTGCTGTGGCTGTTATTAAAATGGATACCTATACCCAACTCATACAAACCAAGGAGAAATATTAACAAATAACTAGACAAAGATTTCACTTCTGTATTTTATTTCCTTGCACTAACCAGGTGACTTCATTTAGTTTGCCTAGGTTTTGGCTCTGACCACATATTGCACTCCAAAATTAAATTAAATTGTGAAAATAAAGCACACTGTTAAGCTATTTATTGGAAATAAAATAAAGCACTGTGACCAAATTAATTTTCCATGGAAGGAGGAGTATTTACCTAAAATGAAAGGTTGATTTATAGCTTGCAGTACGGGAAATTGCATCAGTTTATACAATATCTGTTAATGTTTCGAAAATTTTTTATAACTTGTTAATGAATTTTAGACAGTAATGCCACATTGTATCAGAGATGTTAAGCTCAATATGAGATTTCTGAGTTTGAAATTTTTTTTATCTGTGGAGAATCACTGCAAAGATGGGTCAGAAACTTCACCTAAAGAATGAATTTCATTCCTTGTGAGGAGTCTAGTATTAATCCACATTAGACTTGTGCCCAGACTGGTGGTTCAAAATATAGGATGTATAAATGCCACCAGCATATAAACATAGGGAAAAAGTAAGTATGGAACAATAAGCAGGAGAAAGTGCTCATATTGTAAGGACTAGTACATGTGTATGTGTCCCCCTCTTGCCAAAAAGTGCTCATATTGTAAGGACTAGTACGTGTGTGTCCCCCTCTTGCCATTAGGGTCAGACTTTGGCCAGGAGAAAACGCCTGGGGAACTTTGTTATCTGCTAGTAGCAGCACTGGTATACCAGGAAATCCTGACATTATTGACATTATTGGGGTTCCCGTGGGACCAGAATTACATCCTATTTAGAACATTCGGTAACTTCTGTCAGCATGGTTTGTATAACATCATTTATTTTTAAGTAGAATAACCCAAGATTTAGCCAAACAAATGATATAAGTCTTGCTTCATACTGGTTTATAAATCCTTACTTTTTGTTTTTGGAAGGTAACACATTTATACATTTTGAAAGTGAAAGAGATCTCAGGACATCATTTACTTCCCTTTAACTTCTTAAATAAGCTGTTTTGATCAATAAGACAATTCGATTTCATTCCCCCAATAACTGAACATTTTCTGGTCACCTGCACGATGCATCACTCCCAACCGGACCAGCAGAACACCTTTATCAGTATAAATGCAAAGTGGTTTAGAGTCAGATTTAAAAATCACATCAACAGTATGTTTATTTCTCCAGCAGAGTTTGTGTCTTTTTCACAGTCTTTCAATTGCTTCTTTTCTGAAGAGTGAAGACTTTATTTCAGAGATCTGTCTATAGAAAATGAACATTTTTAAAGGGCACATTTAAAGATGAAAACTGAGGCTTGAATAACTTATCATACAAATTACACAGATATAAAAGTTCTCTTTCATTGTCTTAACTTACAGTTTATTTTGTACAGAATTCATTATGTTACACATCTAAGACTTAGTATATTGTATAAATATTTGGGGTGTGATGTATATACATATTCAGTGTTATAGATTCAGCAATTAATGTATGCATTTCACAATACACTAAAGTGTATTTCAATGTAGTGCACATGAGTTATATTTCAGAAAAGAGAATATCTTCTATGAAGAATTGGTATTTCATTCATAGGGTACGCTACCTTGAAATACAAATATTTTCCATTATATAATGGACTGTTTGTACTGTGTCATATGGCTGTAAGTTTCTTGTACATTCTCCAATATGAATTAAGAAAGAGCAGCTCAAAACGTTAGTCTATGTGGTTCTACATCAAGAGGAGAGTGGGGCATTGGTTTCTTAACTTCTTATTTAATGACAAAGAATGAGTAGACAAGCCACATGGCACTAGGCCATGTAATGTCCAAGTGGAAGAAAAAGTTCTGCACAGATGAAAACTACCTCTGGCTTCTATATTCATTATGTGCCAGATCTTCAACTGGCTTAAGTCACTCAGTTCTAATTTTCAAGAGCTGAGGTCTGGCATCAACTTTATTTATAAAGTTCACAAACTCCCTGTATTTCATTAACCCACTCTGCATATACGTTTTTTCCTGCAGATCTCCTGGTATGTGTATTGATACTACCTATTCTCTTCCCTCAATAGCAGGAAGAGGAACTTGTCCACAATGTCTTTCTATACGTGCCATAAATAAGGTGTACTGTTTATGCAGCATTAAATTACAGGTTGCTTCCCTGGGAAAATACTGAAGCATAATTCTAATTAATCCATCAATATAACTTTTGTTTTCTTTTTAGTCAATTCTAGTTTCTTGCTTACATAAATATTCTGCCTGTTAATCCCCTTGCTTCCTTTGCTTTCTAATCTCAGAAGCAGAGGTTCTTTAATTAAGATATAAATGACGGTCATTTAACAGCATAGCCAAATATTGAATATGACAACTGGGTGAAAGGAAGGCTTCTAAAAAAGTACTTTGACTGAACCAGAAAAAGAAAAGAAAATCAGATGAATCAGAAATGTTTTCTATTTTGTTTTCAATTTTTAATTCATTATACTCACAGTTAAAATATGCCATAATTTCAAAACTAAAAATTGGGCTACTTCATTTAAGTTGACTGCATTTCAATATTTTTATAGTTGTACATCAACTCAGTACTATTATTTTGCAAATATATTCATTTAAATTCTTCTCCATCTGATTTTGTGCAAAGTAACATAAGCTCTTAAACCAGCATAAATCCAGAATAAAGCCACTTGTTTTAGTGGCATTATCCTAGCATTGCTGAGAAAAAGAACTCTTTCTTCTCACTTATAATGTTTCATGTATTACCATTTTTCCATGTAAAAACATGTGATCTTAAAAAGAAGAGTGTTTTATGACCCTGCAGTTAGAGATGTTTTTTTTCCCCCATTGCCAGGTTTGGAAGGGAGAGTGGGTATTTTTTGTGGAAGGCTGTACACTTTTTGTTTTTAATGATACACCAGAAGTGGCCCTACTCCTTAGCTTTCTAATTGACTGTTTTTTAATGTAGGGATGGGTTCATGTATGAGGCCTGTGAGTGCAAATATGGCTCGTAACCATCCATATTCAACCGCTGAGCCAGGTAAGACCTTTAATTTGACTGTGCTAATAGGTGCTGTACTGAGCTGGAACTTCACGAGGATCCTATTTACCTTTCTAAGGCAGAGTGTTTTCTATGCATACAAACACTGGCATGAAACAAGCTCTGGTTCACCACTCAGTTCTGAAATCCTGCATTTGTAACTCTCTTTGGTAAAAATATCAGAGTACATGGGGTTTTCAAGCCACATAAATGCTGACAAAGCCTCAGGTCGGCATCTACTGGTGTATTTAGCAGAACGGGGCCACCAAAAGATATTGGTCGTGAAGTCCAGCACACTACGGTCAGCGTACAGTTTCCCTGGTAAAGTCATGGAAATAGTGATGCTGTTTGCCCTCTGCAACTACCAAAAGGAGGTGGTTTCCTCTGATTTCTAGTCTAAATTTACTTATAATCAATTTATAGTCATGTAGTCGTGTGCAAACTATACACGTGGTTTATGCTTGGGCCAAATACAAAAGAACACAGTGGGAAGAGATGCAAGAGGATTTTTCTGCTGTTAATAATTGCAGTATAAAATAATTATTTCTTTATGAGGCCTGGACCATTTAGAAAGGAGAGAATGTTTGTTAAACATCCTGAGATTTCATTTGATCTGCAAACATCACGTCCCTTTTCAAGTGGAAGCATCTTTATGGTCAATTATTTGACCTACTTAAGACTGGATTACAGTATATGCCATCCTTTACTATGCAGTTCAGTGGCAGCAAGCATAAGTCTAATCACTCACGTATGCCTGACATCCTCACTGTCCTTTGTGGTGTCACCATCAAAGTTAGAACAGTAATTATGCTAACAGTGTTCCCAGTTTTCAATCAGGATTCAAATTTCCCAGAGTATGGGTTGTCTGGCCTGTTCTAAAGTCAAAATTGGGGTATAAAATTCAAATCTGATTTTGATCTACCTTAAAGTGGCAAGCAGGATATGTAAGGCAGTTGTAGTTTGGATCATGTGTTTATTTCACAGGATCCGCCACAAGAATATGTACTATATTGGTTTTGTTACGAATTTTGTAGATTGACTTTTTTCTAACTGGCATTTTCAACATATTTCAAGGTTATTTCATCCTTCCATGTGAAAAACATGTACATGAAACAGCAGCTTTGAATCTCCAGCATAGTGTTTTCTTTGTTAGATTTGAGAATAGTGACTTGTTAAGGTGTCCAGTGGATGTGTTGTCTTTTCTTCTTTTTAACTAAATACGACATAAAGATCTTTTCAGCAAGCAGCCTTTTGGCCGGGGATATTTTAGACAACATCTGGGGTGCTAGCCCTTATATATAGACTTCTGTATACTGGTAAACTCCATCAATGTATTATTTTATCAGGACAGGGTAATACCGATTCCAGGTCTTTGCTCATTTGTCAGGAAATTTCCTTCCTATTCCCTGCATTTCAATACCACATGTGAATTTCTCAGGCTGATATCTTTCACCAATCGAGCTGCTGTTTCAGCAAAAGCATTTTCTCTGAAATACACGCTGCTTTGTTGCAGGTTACCTTTTCAGATCATCAATGACAAAAGTAAACCCAAGGCTACGCCTTGATTTTTATTTTCCAGGGTTTATTATTGTATTTACAGTTCCCTGTAAAAAGAGACAAACCTTCTCCAGTAAGACCTCTAACACCTTCCTATGTTTCAAATATTAAAGACCCACATGGAAAGGAGAAAGATGGTAAGAGATGAGGGAGGTATCTCTGTGGGCTGATGTGCACGAATAGAAAACTTGAATCATTATAAATATTACTGTACTACACTTTGGTACAACCAAAAAAAACTCTTCAAAGAAAATAGCTAGTGTTCCATAAGTCAAATAAAATGCATAAACAATATGAAGAACCACATGTAGACTTTTATATGTGTAAAAAAATAGTAAGACTACTTGGCTGTATTGCGCATAAGCAATAAAATTAGATTCATTCAGATCCCTTTTAATGTAAGCCATGTTTCAGGCTGTAAGCAAGAAATGTCCACTGTGCTTTACAAAGGACGACGACTAGAAAAATCAATGCAAAGATCCCTCTCTTTTCTTATTTACCATTTGTCATGAGAGATAAACAAACGAAGTCTCCTCTGAGTCTGAGCGTAGTTGTATTAGCATTTTGCTAGTACCAGGCAGTATACAAAAACAGCCATCGTGCGACACCTCCAACACCTACAGGTAGCTGTTTTAGGGGCACATCCTGGTTTATGGTGAAACGAGTTTAACTCAGCCAGCCTCTTGTACCTGCTCAGCGATATCAGGTTAGCTCAGTGATTCCAAGGTGGACTCTCTTGTTCCTATTGCTGACTGGACTGACTGTTCCACCATCCGTAAACAGAAGGCATAAAGGTGATTACAAACATAAGAAAGTAGTTTTACATATTGTCTTGCAGTCTTTCCATATAGTCCCTAAGTTCCTTGGAATCACCAAGATTCATATCTTGGCATACCCATTTAATATTATCGTCACTGTCAAATAAAATTGAGTTGGTATAGGGGCCTCCATCCTCTGGCAGTATTGTTGTATATGAAGTGAACTTTACACGCTTCTGCTTTGGCCCAGAATTTATAGGTTCACTTTTAACTTCCTTTTCACAACCGTACTCAGAAGATCTGAGAATATGATTATGAAGAGTCTTCTGAGAACTTCCGTTAAGAAGAAAGTTGCTTTCTTCAAACTGCATTCCTCTGTCAATCATGGTAGTGCACTCCTCTGATGGGAGCGAAATGTCAGCTGGGTTTTCCAGCAGCTCCACCTCATTGCCAAGCCAGACCCAATCATGGGAATGGGGGATGTTGCCTTGCTCACTCACAGCAAACCTTTTATGCCTGTACTTCCAAGCAAAAGCGACGCAGTTAATCAAAAAGACCAAGATTGCTAAGCAGAAGACACAGAGCAGGGCATACATGCCAATCTCCAAATCTGTTAATCCTCTTGAAGTCAATGTAAGATCACTCGGATTGTTTTGCTCTGGTAGTTCTACTTGTGTTGGGAAACCTGTGAAGGCAGTTGGGTTATTTTGGAGCTGGTCCTCCTCCAGTGACTCCTGCTCAATGGGAGATTTGGCAGTTGTGCTTTTGTTTACATTGTCCTCATAATTACCAAAGGCTCCGTTTTTAGACCATTCTTGTATTGTCCGCTCTTGTTCGGCAGGCTTCTCTATAGAATTGCTTGCATGGCTTTTAAAGTCTCTATCCATTTCATCAATATCATTGGTACTTCCTTTGTGATCAGAATCCTTTTGACCAAACTTCACTTTGACATTTCCTTTTCCAACAGCCAGGATGCTCTTTCTCTTAGTCTTTTGACATGGCTCACTGATGACCATTTCGATTTTAATCAGAGGTCCTTGCCCATCTCCTTCTGCTACTACACTAGGCCATTTTGACTGAAGGTTTTGGTGCGTAGACACTACCATCTCATCCAGTGAGGTTATGGTGACTGAGAAATCCTTCGAGTCATAAATATCTAAAGGTGTCACTGATCCATCGCTGAACAAAACCCAAGCACTGACTATGGCTTCCTGGGGGAAGATAAGTGAGGAAAAAGTATGAAAGGTAAGAGACCACACAGCAGACCTGCAGTCATTTAGGTTTATTCAACATCACTGGTAAAATAAATATATACTATAACTACAGTTTATTTTGCTTTTCAAAAAAGAAATCAAAATTTCTACGCTGCTTATTTACTGCTTGTGGGTTTGTATTCTCTAGATTACTTAGGCATATACCTCCTCTTCAGGAACTATCAAAGAAATTGTCATCTACATTCGATAAAAGGCACTGACATTTTGAAAAGGCCTTTTCTTCAGGCTGAAGTACTGAAGTAAGAATTTGATTTTTTTCTTTTTTGATACTAGGTCCATATAGTGTAAATAATTATATTCCCAAGGCCCTGTTAATTAATTTTGTAGAAAACTAAATATTTCCCTATAATGGGGAATCTCTGTAATTCTGCAGTTTTAATGGTCCATATAATGAATGTGCAGTGTTATGGGTTAGAATGGTGATGCTGTTCAGCTCACTGACACAAAAAAGAAAATATTTGAATGCAATATTTTATTCTTTTTGCTGTCATGCTTTCAAATATATATTATATGAAGCATACAAAAGTGATTGTAGTTTGTTCAGGAAAATACAGAAACACATACAAGACTGCCAAATTTTAATGATGGCTTGACAAAACTGATTTCTTTTCTTAGGGAAAGTTTTGAGTGCTAAAAGGTAGTTGCAAATTTTCTAGTGACAAAGTCTCAATTATTTAGTAAATACAATGGAAAAAAAAGTATGTGCATCTGAAGCTATTTAATTTCTCAGATTATATGGTCTGAAAACACAGTAAGCACAAAGCCATCAAAAGATTTCAGCCGTACACATCATGAAAAATTCTGCAGATGTATCTAAAGGGTTTTTTTTTTGGCAGAACTGGCTCTCTGAATATATTAAAACATAGGATTTATACCTCTGCTTAAGTAGCCACACCATATTTTTCTAGGGAAAAAGTATCTTAAGAGGCATATGCATGCTTTCTACAGCATTTTCCATGCACAAACAGGCACATCAGTGCCCCTGTGATGTGCTGTTCTCCACATTAGCTGTGGAGAGTTTAATGATCATTTTGTACAGGTGTAGGAGTTGGTCATGAAGATGAACAGTCTTTGCTGTATGAAATTACAGCTTCTCATACAGTCATATATTATATGTGCCATTTACATTTTTCACTAGATAGCTTTGTCCTGGATTCTCACAAACAGATTCTAATCACTGTTTGTATTGTACCTGTTTTGGAGTATGAAGGATATCGTAAGCAGAGGTGGTAGAAACAATAGCTCTCTTGTTTCCTTTGCTAATTTGCAGAGAGACGGACAAGCCTGAAACTAGTTGGACTCCTAGATCTGTAATTGTTACACGGTCATCGAGGACTATCACTGTCTTCTCAGCCAAGATGGAATCAGAAAGAGGTGACAGAACCTGTAGAGAGAAAACGAATGTTTTGTCGGAAACAGCAGCTGACTCTGTGCTATAAGGCAAGACTCTAATCAGCATGACATTCCGGATTAATTATTTTTAAATGAGGCATGTAAAGAGGCAAATAGATCCTTAGTAAAATTTTCTAGCAGATTAAATTTTTAAGTTCCCATTTTAATCCAAAGAAGCTACTTGTGTGGATCATGCAACCTGTTTCATTGTTCAGAAAATCCCACAGTGTTCCTAGTCACATTTACATGTGCAAATCCCTTTGGCAGTTTTACCTAAGTGTTTTTATTATATGAAAATGACAAACAGCATAAATGTAAAGGTCTTCAAACTTCTTTTATGTTTAGTATATCATTTTTTCAGCAATTATTTTTCTGAAAATTGGACTTTTTATATGGCAAGTAACTATTATTTGTATGCTTGCAGAACTCTGCTGGATCTATAGAAATACTCTGGGCCGTACCTGGACCGTGGTGATGCCGTGCTCACGACCAACCAGAACTCGGCCATCTTGCAGCTTAGCAATTTTGGGTTCTTCTACCTTCATGAAATCAGCCACAAGGTCAGTGATGTCAAACTGCCACTCAGAACCTAGCATATAGGTCAAGTGGCCTCCAAAATCAGAGGATTCAGCTACAAACTGTGTGAGGACTCGCACCATGGCATGCTGATACTGAAGAGTGCAACCTCTTCCCTTTTTCTCATCATCATCTTCATCCTCACTGTCACGGGTAGGCCTGTAAACAAATCCAGGTTCATTAGCTATATTGCCATTATCTCCCTACAACTTTGCAAAGCTCCATTTGCATGGCATTTTTAATATTAGATTAATTTAGATTAGATAATCATTCTCTGCTAACTTGCAAAATGAACAGTCAGATTTTGGCCGGGTGTGCCGAGCTGAGTGCCATGTTTGCACAGCTGGTTTTGCACTGTACAAGTTAGAAGCTACTTTCATGTCTGTTGGTGATCCTTTGAGTGCAACCACCCAGCCACTTGCAATGTCTGTCTGTGCTGACGTTCCGTGGATCCCCTGCTTGTTCTTGGCTTCATTCACCAATCAAATCCTGCAGAGGGCTAAGGAAAGCAGGATGAAATTTTTATGAGAGGGCAGCTGTGGCACCAATCCCTGTAATAGCTGTGCTGGGAGAAGAAGAATTTTTAGCTGCACAGTAGTTACTCCTTAAAAATGACCGATCTTTTCCTCCATCCCTCCTTCCCTGAACATTTCTATTCCTTTGCTTAACTTCTCCAAATTATTACTGTACAGTCAGGATTCCCTGTGTGGGTAATGCTGCTGTGCCCTATCCTGGCTGTATCTCACAGGCTCGTTAAGCCCTCTGCATTTGAGAAACAGGTCTCACACAGCTCATGCAAGTGCTGGGGTATATTTGAAGTCACAAAATAACCACACAGGGCTTCCAAAAAAAAATCCAAATTAGTGACTGAAATTACTGTTCAAGATATCAGTTACCTTGATGTACAAATATCATCTCAAACTGGTTATATGAGCACTCTTATGAACTCTTGCACCATTAGTGACACTTCTAACAGTTTTCTAACTGTCTAGGCCCTCCCTGCAAAATACACTTATGACAAAAGTAAAAGCATTCTGCAAGTCTTCTATAAAGCATCCCGGTGACTTGTGCAGTAACACCAGCAGTGATACCTTGCACTTTTCCCCTAGTTTAAAGCCCAATTTCTCATCATTTTTTTTTTAATTATTCCTTGGGACAAATACAAATTATACCTTGGGACAAATTACCTCTTGCAAGTCAGATATAAAGCACTAGGTGGTCACATTTTTACTCGTTATACTGTGGAATTCATTGCTTAGAAATATTTTGCCTTCCTTCTTTTATTCAAATTGAGCTTGAAGCCATTTTTATGGTAAGGGTGTGAAATACAGGCTAAGTCTCTTCACAGTGTTTTGGAAAGTAGTTTTGCATTTACTGTGTTCCTTCATCTTTTCTTTCCAAATATCAGTTATGAAAAACTATTATAAAACAGGATTGCTGTTGTTATAGATTATTTTATGACAGAGTTGGCAAACTGTAAGCTGAAAATACATCTATAAATATCCTTGTGCTCTTCAAAATGCTAGCAAGTCTTGATGTTATGGAATCTAATACACTGGAAATATATTTTCAATGCATCTTTTGATAGGAGAATATATATGTGTATGTATACATATATATAAACACACATTCAGTCTCAAGTAAATGGCATTTCGTAGAGCCATTTTGGTTTTGTACGTGTGTTTACAACAATAGCCCATCATCAGTTACTGTATAAAACATCATGACATATTCATAAATTGTTAAGAAATAAAGCCCATAGGATCCTAAAAGAGAATTTACACTACACAAAAGAAGTTATTCTTGTAGAATTAGATTAGCTGGATAGTTTAGGGAATGCTTTGGCCCCAGTTGAAAACCTGAGCGATGCAAAGAGTGGCTGGAGATGGGGTGAGGCCTAAGGACAGAGGAGGGTCACTGCTCTCCTCATTATCACATTTGGATTATGGGGGCTGCCAATCAGAATATGATGAAGTCTGAGCCCTTCCTTGCGGACAGATAAAAATAAGGGCTCCATTTCACTACAGAACTATTTATAGTTGTTTGCATCTGTACCTTTCTCCTTCAGAGATGCTCAGTGCTATGCAAACCCAGAAGGGCAGCCAGGCCCTTTAACCATGGAGCTTCTTGGTAACAACACAAAGGAAAGAGAGACCTGTTTCCCAAAGGAAAGAGAGCCTTGCAAGTCTTGATTTGCCAGGTACCAACTCAATTTTCTTTTTTTAAACAAATGATAGCCATTTCCATTTCAAAGCCACAAATCCCTGTTTCAGTTAAGAAGACAGAGCATTTCAGTAAAAATGTTTGAAATACATTGAATAACAAAGTTCCCTTTACAGTATTAAGCTTCTTGTTACAGTGTTTTTAGTAGGTTTAAAATCTTTCCTTAAGCAGTGAACTCATTTTCATTAAAGACCTGTCTTCATGAATATAAGTTATTGCTGCATATTGTGCTTTCTTTCCCTTGGTCATTTCTGAGGTTAGCTGTGGATGTCTCTCAGAATCCTTCTTATCCTATTTCTTGCTGCTTCTGAAACTTGCTTGGAAGATTCTTTGCTTTTCTGGAGTGAATGAAAGTTGCCAGAATTAAATTTAATTTACATTTCACACAGAGCCTTTGGAGGAGAGCTGAGCTGAACAGCAGCCTGTTACGAGGGTGCCTGCTAGCACTGATCTAATCAGTGATCTGTCAGCTTTCTATTACAGACACTGTCCATGAGCAGTTTAAGTGTGTCTCTTTTAATTTGCACCACGCTCAAACCATGCATCAGGTTATTGGCCAGATGCTAATTTTCTGTTTAAAACCCCCCTGAAGAAATCAGTTTTGCAGGGTTTGATGTTGCGATACCCATTAAAGAGAGGCATGTATTTTAAAAGACATTTGTAGCACCTCTAATTGGAGGGGGAAAAAAAACACTATTTCAGTTACAGAATTAAAGTCAAGTTGATTTAGTGGAAGGTACTGAAATAAGTTGTGCATAGTTCCATTTACAGTTCCAAGAAGAAATGCAATTTGCTATCTTTACATTTCCTGGAGAAAGAAAAAAAAAAAAAGTCTACCTGTTTTTTTTTTTTTAAAAAAAAGCTTATCTCTGTGGGATATTATGCTCAATTAACTAAGAGAGTGAAGTTCCAGTGTGTGCAAGCTGCGTGGATGTTCTTATTCACAAATGAAATGGCTTGAATCCACTTTCACTTAATTATTCACATTAAAGGATGGTTTTACTTCTGAGTGACAGCATTCACACACACATTTAATTATAGCACCTCATTTTTCCCTTCATTTAAGCCAGGCGAGCTTTCCTGCTTTGCTTTCTAGCAGACAAGCCCACAGTAGGTCTCCCACATAAGTAACCCCTGGTCCAACATGCTGTGATCCACAAGAGAGACCATCTTTGGCTTAAACACACCTGGCCCATGTTTGGGCTCTAAAGGCTCACGCTGCTTCGAGGTTTGCAGTCTTGTGGCTTTAGTGATGCCTTTACCAGCTAGTGTTCACCTATGCCAGGTACTAGTTAAAGTCTGGTAAAGGACGTGCCTGGCACTGAGGCATATGCTGCAGACACACTGTGATGTTGGGCTTGCGAAACAATGTGCTATCCCCAGCTGGCAAACATTTATTTAAATTAAATTTCCAGATAGCTCTCTGAGCCTTTAGCCATGCAATTCCTATTAATGCAAGTTGAAGACACTCATCCCATGCAAATATCTGTGCATAGAGGCTGTGCAAGAACTTCAAAGAGATAATTATTTTCCAGATGCATAAGGAATCAAAATAAATGTTCTTGTTAGACTATCAGAGTCTGCCTGGACCTCTTCTTCAGTCTAATATTTGACTTTAATTTAAATACACGCCTTTCATTTGCTGAGATTGTGGTCTTCTCTGCAGCGCATTCCAAAGTATCCTGTGCCATACATTACTCATGAGTGGCTCCATGACCTGACTTTTCTGGGGAAAAGGTGGTTGTCCATATCTATAGTAGCACCTGCCATAGATAAGTTCTCCTCTGAATAAGAGTAAATGTTTGCTATATATTTACCAACTGATCAAGTGAGCCACATTTTCTGCTCTTACCTAGCAAAGCCTGCACTTCTTTATAGTTTCTTGGGAAAAAAAAAAAAAAGGCAGCCCATACGTTCCTCTTTCTGCATTCTTTCTGCAGCTGAGGTGTTGCAGCACCAGGCCCATTACAGGCAGAACAAGGTAAATGAAGTGAAACTTTCAGCAGCTGGCATATGTTCAGTTTGTTCATACTCTTGTGTATATCTTCCTTCCACACATGGCAACTCTGTGTTTATTACTGAAGCAAACACAAAAGTTTCTATTGTGCCAGATCCTCATCACTTAGTGCTTTGTCACTATCCATGTAGTCAAGATACAAGTCAGTCCCTCTCCTTTGAGCTCATCCTCAGAACGTCCTTTAAATTGGGTCTTTTAATCCTTAGTATTATTCCCTTTTAAGTATTGGATAATTCTACCCTCACTGTTGCCTGTTTGGGCCCTTTTTAGGCTCCTCAGTAGATATGTTGCTCGGGGCAAATCAGGGTTTTAGTTAGACCTGTGCCTGTCTTTAGCACTATGGTTGTCACTGCCAGAAATTCTTTTTCACTGTGTTATACATTTAAGCTGGTGTCATGCCTTGCTGTGCAGCTGTACTTTTCAACTTAGCCTGAAATAAAACAGTGCGCTAACGTTCCTAGAAGTTCCTAATCTGGCACATTGTCAAAATTACGAGTGTTTTAAGTAGAGAAAGATCCATCCACAGTTGTCTTCATAGAACCCATTCATCAGAGCATAGACTTTAACAAGATAAGAAGTATTTTTTTTTTTTTCCCTAAATCAGATCTGCTAAGTTATCTTTCGCTAAGCTCTTCAGCAGAGTGCATCTGTGTGGAGACTGATGAACCATTAAAAGTCCTGCGGGTCTTTCACCTCTTTTCTGTCTGGAAGATTTCACATGTTCTCAAGCAGTTCCATCTGCCTCTTCCTGAGCCTGCTGATTGTCAGGGAAATTTTGTCATCCCACCCTTTGGTCATTTTTAAGTGTTGTGCGCCTAACTCACAAAGGTCCAATACTGTCCTCGACAAGGACAAAAAAGCAGAGCTAAAATTTGTTCCTAAGAGTCAGCCTTTGAAAATAGCTTTTAAGAACACATTATTGAGCTCTGAATTTGCTGATCTTACTGGTTAAAAATAAAAAACAGATAGCACATTGTTCAGACGAATGACACGAAATGATAGAAACAATATTGTGCAAAGTGAATTTTTGCTGCTGCTTTTGAATTTAGAAATATCAAGGCATGCTAAAGAAAACTAGGGAAGACGGTGAGTTGATTAAGGAAGCTGTATCCTGTGTTACTGTAATGGAGGAGGAATAACCAGGGTCAACTGGAACTATCCGCAGAACTGAGAGCCTCATCTATATTCAGACAGGTTGGAGAAACTGGACCTCCTGTTTTTGAAAAAGAAAAGATTAAGAGGCAATCTAATTGAAAAGGTCATAATCCCCTTCAGTGTGCTGTGTAACAGGACATAATGAGGCTTCCTAAGTTAAGCTAATGTAAAACACAGAGAAATAAAGGAACAGCATAAGCTCTAAAAGCAGGCATTTTTTTAGCTAGGTTTCGATATAGATTAATTTTGCAATGAAATATTATATGTGCTCTAAATATTGTCCTTTTAATGAGTGGCAAATGCCGATGTTTGGAAGGTCAAGTACATGTTTTCCAGGCATAAATATCTGTCTGTTTTTATGAACTTTTCTTAAGGATTTGGTGTTAATTATGCAGGAACAGGCTGAACTGCGTTCTCCAAACACCATGGACAAACAGACAAGAGTTTTAGTACCAGTTTCAGTGATGGAAAAACTGTGTTTGGGATCTCAAGCACTTAGCCAAAAAACAACTATGGGGATCAAACACAGAATCAGAAACCCTGAACTGTTCTTAAAGCTCAGCAGCTTTAGGTATCTGGATATCTAAGATTCTCCTGTTTTCTCATCTAAAGCCATGTCTTGCCTGCTCGGTTCAGGATGAGTGGCTGTGGCCATACTCCATGCACTGAGATCCACGTCCCCTGTGTCGCACGTGCTGCCCCTTTCATCTCTGGTGCAAGTTTCTGAACTGCAAATGCACTCCAAAAGCTTGCTAAATTCTAAAATCCGAGGCCCTGGACATACACCTGGACGGTGCTGGTGTGGCAGACCTACCTTTTGTTGGAGGTGACTGGTATCCTCCAGCCTTTGATCTGGCTCAGTTCTGTATCGGAGATCTCAATCTGCAGGGGAAGCCGGGGAACCCAGACAGTCACTTCTAATTGGGTGGTGAAATGCTGGTAAGTGAAGTTAACTATAGTATCCACTTTGCTTTTCATCTCCTTGCCATTGACAAAGATGGAGTCACATCTGTTAGAAACCTTTAAAAAAAAAGGGGGGGGGGAGATTAATTAGGAAATGAATAAACATTCTTTATTCACAAGGAATTATGCATCAATTGAAAGACAGTGCTAATAATATGAGTCATGCATATTGTATTTCCAATTTTTTTAATTAGTTACAAACAGTGAAAAATGTACCCCAGGGAAGCAGTTCTGCCTTCCCCAACAGATACTACTCAGACTACAGAAATAATCTCAGGATGTTATATAACCTCTGTCAGTCTTTTATACTCGGCAAATTAAACTCTGCATGAATCAAACTCCATGTGCACCAGAGTTTATGTTTACAACTTGCTTAAAAAAACTGGAAAAGATGGAGCCATATGTTAGTAAGAAAACGAATGACTCAGAACCATAAAACAGAGTCTTTTTCTCTTTCTTTGAGCACTGCAATACTTAAAGATGAAGATCCCCTTATGGCTCATGAGCAGAATTGCAACAGAAACATTAATTTTTAGAACTTCTCCGTAGTCATTTTAGCAAAATATATTCATAGTTGCTTTGTGTCATTATATGAAAATGTTGCCAACTCTAGTACTGTACAGCAGGTGGGCTGTGTATTACAACTTGTCTGCCCTCTTGGTTTCAGGGATCCTTTGGCACCAAATCAAGGCTCTGGAGCACAGATTTTTGAAACAATCCAACATAACAAGATGTTTGACCTGCATCCTGGAAAGATGGAACTCCGTTCATGATGAGGCATGTTTTTATATATTTGTGTGTGGTGTGTGTGTGTGTATATATATATATATATATATAAAGTATAAAGATTTGCATTCTGCTTTAAACTAAGATGAGATAGTTTCCAACAGATTCCATGTCCTTCAATCTGTTCTTTTTAATCTGTTAAAGCCATGGCTCCTGACACGTAGTTGAGTTACTGAAATGGACTTCATTTTCATGTCAGGGCTATTCTGAAGGGATTCTGGCAAAGTCAGTGATTAGATCCTGGTTTAGTGGAGTCATATAGTCCTCAGTGGGGAATATGCTGAACCCTTGGTTGATTTTGTTCTATAAATGTACTTCATCTCTGATATTAAAAGAAGTTAGGCGCAAAGAAGAATTATAGGAAATAACTAGCAGACCTTTTCTCTTAAATATAGTTCTCAAATATGACTGAAATTTTGTGCTTTAAAACCCTGGTAACATCATGTGGAATAACACTATTTTTAGGAATTTAAGAATATAGGAATAACACTCTATTTGTGTCATGGTAAGTGTTCTGACATGGTAAGATTTCTGACATGGGCAATGTCTCGTGTTCTACTACCATATGGAGAATGTTTAAGTAAAAAATATTTTGCCTCAATGGATCCTATAATACTTTTAAAATCTGTAAGCAACTTGGCTAAGAATCAGCTGCTTCAAAACAAATGAAAACAAACAACCCTAATGGTGATCATTAAATGGCAAGTTTTATTTCCAGAGTTATCATGATGATGTTACAGTAACTCCTAAGCCAAGAAAGGAAGGAAAAACATTCAGGAAACACTGTGCTAATTTATCTGTTGGTATGGATCCAATGAACACTGACGATATCAAGTGACTGTTTTACACTTAGTGAGACCTATCTTAGATAAAACAGCCAGACTTTTCACATTGTCCCTTTTATAACATCACTGTACAACTAATGTCACTCTTCTGTACTGCTAATTATTAGATAATAACCTCACTAAAAATATTGGCAAGTGCTTTTATGTTCTCTTTAGAAAAAAAATCACTGCTTGGTATTTTTCTCTATGGAAACATGCAATACCAATATATTAAAAAAAACAGCTGCAGTTCCACATTTGCCATTTTCAGGCCAGTTTCACAGATCCTAATTAATGTGCTGAAGCTGCAATCAATTATGTTTTTGTAAAGGGAGTAAGCCAGGGTACCAGGGATAGACAAAAGAAACTAAGGCACTCTTCAGAAGATAATACTCCTTCCACATCAATGCTTAATGAGTACAGGAATTGAAAAAAAAAAAAAAAAAGGAAAAAAAAATCTAGCTGTCTGATAAAGAGCTTAAAATGGACTCCAGGTTCAGGAGTACCACAAATGAGATGGAGCACACTCAGAATCCCTGTTTCCCCCTCATAATATGTCACAAGTGTGTCTGGGAAATTTAAGCACATTAATCAAGCTCATTAATTGAATGAGCAGCTGAGATTCTAAATCCTAAAGCCCACATCTAGGGAGCTTTGTGAGAATTAATACAAGACAGAAATAATTACGAAAACTCAAAGAGAGAAGGATAAATATCAAGATCTGATCAGGAGAATAACTAATATCTGACATGACAGAGGCTAATGTTTTAGTGTCTCCTCTTAGTGTTTAAAACAGTCCTGTATTTTGTCAGCAGGCAAGAAAGGTGCTAAATCAGAGAAAAGAAATATGGAATTTAGCTTTTAAAAAATCATTAGACTTGGCTTGCAAATCAGATTTCATGTTTATACAGGCCATCCAGTCACTTACACTTACCAAGAGGTACTATAATGCAGAGCATATAACTGTGCCATAGAAATTGACCCAGTGACCTTGTGTAAAGTTTGCAGCCCCCCTTTCATTGAGGTGTATCTTCTAGAAAATCATCTGTTCGTGATAAGAAAATGTGAAGAGATTAATTATTGTTTTCCAGCTCCCTATTAAGCATTTGAGTTTACCTTATTAGGTACAAGCCAACCTAGGAATCTAATGGAAAGTTTTGATTGTAAGGATAGCAATGAAAGCCGCAGCAGTTGCTGAGTCCAGTTGCTAGCCCATGAGGAAGCATGTGAAGCCGTGACCACCATTAGCCATCCCAGGGCGTTAATGCGCCCTTGAGCAAGCCTCCCTGTGTTAAATCTGTAGCATTTAGCCTCAGAACTCCTACACTCATTAAACCTTAGAGCTGTTGTTAATTCACTCAAAAGCAGCCTGTTCCAACTCCTTGCACACAGAATTAATTTCATCCCGTTCTCAGATGCAAGCGATGCCTTCACATTAGGAGCAGTCTAGATGTTCCGCCAGTGATGAGGGAAAGATGTGGAGCTTTGTGGCCTCCAAGAGTATTTGGCTTATGGGAGGCCAGCCCAACTCGTTCCCAGGAACTGTGGTTTCCCCTCACTTTCTCCCCTTTGAAGTCTAATCCATGCTCTTACAGTGAGCCCGTAACTTCCAGAGGCACGTGAGCATGCTGAAATGTAACTCGTGGGAGCTCCTGCTGTGGTTGGGGAGCACATTGGTGTGCACGGGAAGACCTGCTGGGGGGCAGAGCAGTGATTTAGGGAGAGCTGCATTAGACACAGATTTCTATAGAGATGCTGGTATACATCCGAGGGAGGAAAAGGGGCAAATGCTGCTCAAAGAACTCTCTCCTGCAAACACTCCACAGTGAGAGGACACAGCAGAACCTTCAAGTGCCACCTCCTAACCCAAAATGCACAGAGCTGCAAAACAGGCTGCCACTCTCCACTGTCAATTGCCTGGCAAGAATCAGAAAATGCTATTTGAGACAGTTTGCAAGAAGGGCAGGATGGCCAGCTCTCTGCGCTGGTATTCGGGTCAAGAGAAGGAGAGCTGCAATTAACCTTTCTGGGCTTTGAAGCAGGCGCTTGGCTCCAATCCCCACAAGTAATTCTAAAAAGCACAATTTTCCCTGTACAACCCATCAGATCCTCCTCATTTTAGACTTAGCAAGTACAAAAGTAGGTAGCAATCCACGGGAGTAATTGGGAAGCCATTTGATGCTCAAGTCAGCAAGGGTTTAGGTACCCTTTGGCTGAGCAGGTATAAAAAAGAACTGAATTGACAAGAAAACAAATAAAACTTGTTGCTGGATAAGCTTTACAATTTTAGAGACATGTTTTATTCAAAATCTTTTGCTTTACCCTCATCTTGTCGCTCAGTTAGTAAGGAAACTGAAATAGATACAACAGAAATAACAGAACTTGAGCAAAACCCTTGTGTCTATAAGCAGATAGGAATTTAGTGACTGAAGAGGTGTCACAGTTAATACTGTACCCAACACCAAGCTGTCATGTGGCTCTTTTCATTGTTTTTTTTTTAACAAACACATGCAAAACAAAAACACGCTGGTGTTTTTGCAACACGTTTCAGCAGAGTGCTACACCACTCCATTGCAATGTTGAGGAAAGTTGGTCCCCAAGTGATTTTAACCTAGAATTGAATCTCACCTGAAATCTCCAGCTTTTTAGCGAGATGGCTGCTCATCTCTGCAAATCTGGCCTAAATATATTATGTATTTGTAGCTGTAGTTGTTTGACTGCTTTGAATCATGCAGTTGGTATACTATTTTTGTATAACATTATTATTCACTGATGAGAAGAAACACATACCCAGCCCTAGTGTTGTGTAGTGCTTGACTCCAACTTTTGCTCTTGCTTTTAAGTAGGCAACAAACATTAGAATATATCTCAAGGGATATAAACCCTTATATCTGAAACTACTGCAGCTATTCCAGGGAATAGTATGTGGAGAACTAATTTGCCAATAAAAACAAATTAACTTGAAGGGAATGTTTCAAAAGTGACACTTCCAAGGCTATTCTGCACATGTCTAAAATTAAAAAGGAGTAAAACTTCTGTTTTCATTGGTTTCAATTTCAGTATCTTGTCATTTGCCTTCCTCTACTCTGTGTGTTCTTGATCCACCATTTGTCTCAAACTGTTTGGATACACTATTTGCAGACCCCAGTACACATAATTAGCTGGGCAGGGAGGGAGGAGGCAGGACTATTGCCAGACTTACCTGCTTGGGGAGGAAGGTGAAATAAATGTACAGTAAAACTAGCAGTCCAAACATATTTGGAAATTTTCTGATTTGGAAAAGTGGAAAATAAACTGAAGTACTCTCTGTTCAAGAGACCAGAAGAACATAGTGGTGTGAGGAATAGGCTTATGGAGATTATCACTTGCTCAGATGCACAGATCTCTGCACAGACAACATGAGGCCACATTAATACCAGCTCAGCAGCAATTAGCACAGTAGAATGA